CCTTGCTTCTCAACCCTGAGGAGGGGGCAGGGCTGCCTGCTGAGTGCCTTGCTCATGCAGGCTGAACCCCAGGACTCCAAGGCCTGAGTCATGCTGGCTATGAGGGGCGGGGAGGTGGGGGGTGGGGGGGCGGTGTCTGTACACAGATGCCGGTCATTGCTCTGGCCATGGGGAGCACACACGCTCCGTCTCCTTTTATGTCCCTGTGTGGATATTCCCAGCCAGCCAAGAGTCAGGAGCTGTGAGCAGGGGCTGCCAGGGCATTGCTCACTCCAGCCTTCAGTGGCTTGAGGAACGCGGTGTCTGGAGGAATGAGACCGGGCTATGGGATGACAGGTGGTGGCAAGGGGTAGGGGGACAGCAGGGCATGCCCCATGTCATGAAGAAAACCTTTATCCCAAGGGAGGGAGACCTTAGCGACTTGCTTCATGTCACACTTCAAGTGAGTGGTCCTTGACCAGGCATTCGCACATGTAGGTCTATGCCTCTTACCGACTCTTCCTTCAGAAGGCCTACACTTCCTGAAAGCCATCTGAGACTCTGGCCTGCCTGTCGTCACATCCTTCTTTTCCTGCCCTCATCCTTCAGGGACAAACCTGCTAGACTCCTCTTGCATCTCCATACAAGGGTTTTGGCCATAAGGATGTGATTTTGGGGGGGGGACTTTTTTTTCTTGAGTCAGATCTCACTCCATCACCCAAGCTGGAGTGCAGTGGCACCTTCACGGCTCACTGCAACCTCGACCACCTAAGATCAGTCGATCCTTCCGCCTCAGCCTCCTGAGTAACTGGGACTACAGGTATGCACCACAATACCTGGCTAATTTTTTTATTTTCTGTAGAGATTTTTTTTTGTTTTTGAGTCGGAGTCTCACTCTGTTGCCCAGACTGGAGTGCAGTGGCACGCTCCCAACCACCGCAGCCTCGACCTGCTGGGCTCCCACGATCCTTCCGCCTCAGTCTTCCAAGTAGCTGGAACTACAGGCGCACGCTACCACGCCCGGCTAGTTTTTGATTTATTATAGAGATGAGGTCTCACCAAGTTGCCCGGGTGGGTCTCGAACCCGTGGGCTCAGGCAATCCTCTCGCCTCAGCCTCCCAAAGTGCTGGGATTACAGGCTGAGCCACCAAGCCTGGCGAGATTTTTTTTTTTGTAGAGACAAGATCTCACTATGTTGCCCAGGCTGTTGAGGGGAGTCTTGAAGCTATCCCATACTTCTGCACCGAGTCTTTGGGTTTAAAGGGGCCCCCACCTGGCACGCCAACATCTATTTACAGTTTGGAGACAGAATCACATGGTCCAAGGCCAAGGTAGACATGCCTCCTAGGTGTGTGCAGCAGCCTCTTGAAACTACTCCTGGATTTTAGTACTGATTTAACATATTTTGTCCCGTCATTTCTGAAAGAATGCCTATTGTTTTGTCCTGATTCTCAGTTCCAAATACATGGCCACTTTCTATGCTATTTTGCCAGAGGAATGGGTTCAGTCACAGTCTGTGTCCCTAAGGAAAGCAAGAGTTCCCAATGAAGACTGTAGTCTGCGTGCCTGAACCCAGATTCACCCCAACACTAACCCCTCCCCAGGCCGGCCTCAGGTGTCTTTCTCATCTCTGAAGCCTCCAACCACTGCACAGTGGAGGCTTCCTCCACTGGGGTTCCTCTGGGACTTTTGACCTGGTTGGGGGAGGGGATCTCTTCCCCTCCCCCAAGGTAAAGCCCAGAAACAGACTGAGCCAGTTTTGGTTCCTCTTCCTCACGCCCCCTCAGTGAAATGAGATGGTACCTGTGGACAGGCTTTGCAGACTGTGATGCTCTGGTCACACTGAAGTCATGCTCTGTGGTGATCACCTGTGGGGCAGGGTCAGGGAAAGCCAGCCCCTGGGGCTTGGACCCGTGTACGCTGCGTCACAGCAGCTTCTCTTCCTGACCAGTGTCAGGCTGGGGCTCGAGGTATAGTTTGTGACCGGTTTCTGTAGGTGCCTCTGCCCAGGCCTCAGTTCTGTCAGGAGGAGGCTCTTGGGTCAAAGTTCCCATAGGCAGGGACTTCTCCAGATCTGCCTAGATCTGCCTTCCCAGCAGGATGGGTCTCCCTGGCAAGCCCACCCCAGGGACCAGGTTTCATGTTCCTGGCCCTTAGCCATCTAGATTTTTTTCTGTTTGGATTCTCCATTCATGAGAACTAGCAACTCACCTTAAGGAAACTGACATTTGAAGCAGTTAAGAGTTGATCTTAGCGTACAAGAGGAGGAAGGAAATACAGGATGATCAATCCTTGGCCTGTGGTCAAGATCCCCTAGTTCTTAACCCAATGCTGGAGTGTAGAACCCAGAGTTCTAGGAAAGTGAACAAATACTTGGCTTAGACAAGGACAAAGAGGGGAGTAGGAAGGTAAAGGAATAGAAGAAGCTAGGCTGACTTCAGAGAGAAATGGTGAGGTAAGACCTTTACGGCATCACAAATCAATATTCATTGAGAAGTTACTACACTCAAGACTCTTCTGCCTGCCTCGCCATCCCTGGGCTTTTGTACTGTGAAACTGTGGGACAGTCTGCCAAACTGCCTATGACCCTGCAGTGAGTGGGTGAGGGTAGAAAGTCTGTGTTTCTGAGGAGGACAATGGCCCTGGACAGAGACTATGTAGACGGCCAGCGAAGACAGGATGAGGTACCAGTTGCTGGCTAAAAAAGAGCTCTAGAGCCCAGTGGGTCCGACACGTTCGAATGCCTGGCCAAGGACCATTCATCTGCAGTGTGATATGTATCAGGTCACCAATTCTCTCTCCCTGGGGATGAAGGTTTTCTTCGTAACATGGGACATACCCTACTATCCCCTTAACTGTTTCTAGTAGGTCATGCAGTGAGGTGAGATGTGCCGTTAGGGGAAATTCTCGAGGTTTCTCAGAAGCTAGGACCAACCAGGTCTCCAGTTTGTTGCTAAGATGTCCAACTGGGTCAGGGCTCGTGGTCAGAGTGAAGCTTCGGGCAGAGGAAGACACCCGGTAACCTAATCAGATGAGGCCAGTAGCCAAGTCTAGGGGCCAGGGTGGGAGCACATTGCCTTGTCAGGGCTGTGGACTTTTTTTTTTTTTAAAGAGATGCAGTCTTGCTATGTTGTCCAGGTTAGTGGCAAACTCCTGGTCTCAAGTGATCTTCCCATCTCGGCCTCCCAAAATGCTGGTATTACAGGTATGAGCCACTATGTACAGCGACAGGGTAGTGGTGTTTAGTCTGATTTAGGGTATTGCCCGGACTCTGTGATTAGACTCAGGGAGACTTCATGAGCATGTGACCAGTGCAGTCACAGGGGCCTGAGCCTACAGGAACCCCTGCTTGGTTTAGTGCTTGCTTTCTTGAAATTCTTCAGCAAGGGGCTTCATTTTCATTTTGCATCGGGTCCCACAAATTATGCCACAGGTTCTGTTCAGATGGATGGTCTGGCTCTGATTTTTACTGGGGTTTGGATCCCAGAGGCCAGACTTCAGGTAACTAGCCCTTCCACTCACCTTCTCAACTATGTCCTACTTATACTTCCAATCTTTGGGATCTAGGCAAGCAGGAGACAGGTTTCTCCAAGCAAGCTGGGAACGTGCTTGGTGGAGTTACAAAATAGACACCAGCTCGGGGAGCTGGCCAACATCTCAGGGTGAGTTTAGAATCAGGAGAGCTGGTAGGAGCCAGGATTTGGATCCTTCTTCATCTAGCCCAGAATACTGCTCAGAGAAGTCCTTTCCCCAGAGGGAGAAAAGGCTGTGAAGAAGTTCTGAGGAATCCTTACAATCAACCTCTGCTGTCAGCATGCAGGAGTCCTGGGGTCCTCTGGCTGAGCTGTTCCCTACACATCTTTTGAGAGTCCAGTGACAACCAAGTCAACTGCACTACTATGCTTCACTAGAGAGACTTGAGTGGTGGGGGAATGGTGCTGGGGACCATTTTCTTAGCAGAGCCAAGAAACCCTTCCAAGAATACCTTATCTCTAGAGATTCCAATCTTTTGATAGAGACCACAACATGCTCTAAGACTTTTTCAGATTAACACAATTTTCTCACCCTGCTCCCTGACTCCGGCCCACTGTGATCCTCTTCCTTGCTACCATCTGGTCTCATACTTCCTCAGCTTAGCACATAATCATTGTCTAATAGCGTCCAGTGAGAAATTTTTTTCCTTCTCGGCTATTGGAGGGCAAAGATCAGGTCCTCAACTTCTCCATCCAACAGAGAGTATAGTGGCCTGATGGCATAATCATATAGCAAGAGATGAAAACTGTATGTCAATTGCTTGATTAGCAATGTCAGTCTCCCAACACTAAGAGAACCTCCAAAGTATTTTCCTGTCTAGTCCTTTATTCTAACCCTAAGAGATAATAAGAGGATCCCTATTAAAGAATAGAGAGTCAAAGTATTGTGTTCTTGGTCACACAACAATTCAGGGGAGGATGCAGGGCCTGAACCTGTGTCTTCCAATTCCCTCTAAAGGATGTCTATTAAGTAAACATTCAGCTCTGCTTCCTCTACAAAATGGAAAATAACATTTTAAAAGACAGGAGCTGGCTTTTAAAGACAGGGTGTGGTGGTTCACACCTGTAATCCCAGCATTTTGGGAGGCCAAGGTGAAAGGCTTGCATAATCCCATGGATTCGAGACCAGACTGGGGAAGTTGGCGAGACCTCATCTCTAGAATAAATTTTTAAAAATTAGCTGGCTGTGGTGGCTCAACAATAGGAGTTCCAGCTACTTGGAAGGTTGAGGCAGAAGGATCACCTGAGCCCAGCAGGTCGAGGCTGCGGTGGCCGTGAGCGTGCCACTACATTCCAGCCTGGGCGATAAAGTGAGACTCCAACTCAAAAAAAAAAAAGAGAGACAGGAGCGGATAGGCCTGCCTAGATTCTATAGATCCGTAGTGGGAGAGGACTCCCAAGATGTCCCCTCACCCTAAGACCCTGGCACAAGATACTAAGAACTCCAAGTGGGTCCTGGGCAACGGAGAGCTACTTGTGTCTACTCACCAGGTCCTCCAAGTTCATGTATTCCATTTCCAGGGTGAGTGGGTAGTTCATGGCTGTGGCTGCAGGTCTCCAGACTGGTCACAATCTGATGTTGAGAGGCTCTCTGCCAGGCGCCTCTAGAGAGGTGGCAGCCGTCAGCTGCAAATGTAAGCAAATGAGCTGTGCACTGTCTCCTGGGGCTGTGTAGGGCCCGCAGTCGGTCTCACAGCTCATCATTTTTTTTTTTCCACTGGTCTTTTCTGTTTTAGGGAAAATCCCTACAGCATCAGTGCTAGTCGAGCATTTCAGCTTCTTTCCCGGCAATAGTTGTCTCAACTGGGGCTTATGACTAGTTTAAAGGCTGCCCTCACTTCTCCTGCCCATAATGAGGGGCTCATACCTCGTAATGAAACTACCGCTCAAATCAGGAGGATAATGAGGGAAACTCCAGACAGAAAGGGAACAGAAGTGTTCTCCTGGAGACCTCTCCTCCAAGCTACTGCCAGACCTTCATCTTCCCACCACTAGGGTGACCAGCCATCCCAGTTAGCTCAGGACTGGAAGTCCCTTGTCTTGGGAAACTCCTTAGGCTTGGGCAAACCAGGGCACTTGGTTAAACTGCTTGCCATCATCCTTCTGCCCAAGCAGGGGCAAAATACCTTCCCTTTCCAGCTCAAGTTCACAGGGATAGAATTTTTCTTTTTCTTTTTTTTTTGGGGGCTGAAGTCTCACTCTGTTGCCCAGGCTGGAGTGCAGTGACATGCTCACGGCCGCCGCAGCCTCAACCTGCTGGGTTCAGGCGATCCTTCTGCCTCAGTCTTCCAAGTAGCTGGAACAACAGGTGCGCACTACCACACCCAGCTTATTTTTTTTTTATTTATTGTAGTGACAAGGTCTCACCAAGTTGCCCAGGCCGGTCTCGAACCCCTGAGCTCAGGCATTCCTCTTGCCTCGGCCTCCCAAAGTGCTGGGATTACAAGCTTGAGCCACTGCGCCTGGCCTGGAGATAAAATTTTTCAAAGGGAACAACAGTAAAACATTACTGGAAGGCAAAAATGAAATCAACACAGGAAAGCATAACAATGAATTATTAACTTCATAGACTACCTGGCTAGAGGGGGCTTCAGAGATCACCTAGCTCAGTCCCCAGTTTTTGTGCAGGAGGCCCAAGAGCCCCAGAGAGGGAGAACTTACCCCGGATCCCACAGCTAACCAGTGACAGAGCTGGGACTTGAACTCAGCATTTCTAACTCCACATTATTGGTCTCTCCACTATACCAGGCTGCAGTAACCCCTTTTCTTTCCCTCAGCTCTGCCCTGTCTGAGGTACTTTTCCTGTAAGAAGCCCCTCTGTAGATGTTAAGCCATTTCCCTTCCAAGTCTCATCTTTGTGATTTTTCTTTCAGAAGTGGGCATTTCCTCTCTTGGGCCACTGTAATGTAAAAACAAGGACTGCATTCACAGAGGCACCCACACAAGGTGAGTGGTTTTGTGGCCCCACCCTCACCCTTGTTACTATGCTCCCCTTCCAACCAAGTCACCCTTCACTGGGATCCCATCCTTCCCAGTACCCTCTTTTACCCTTTCCTCCATAGACAGCTTCCCCTTTCCCTCCTACACAACTTGCTTAGGGCCCCACTGTACCCCCAACAGATGCACCTTGCTCGGGCTTCAATCGCTTGAGGAGTTTTCAGCTTCTATTTGTGCTATTTGGGTCTTTTCCCTTCTCTTCTGCATTCACTACCTTTAGAAAATGCTATCAAGGAAGAAGACTCCTGGGGCAAGGCATTGGAGTTCTCTAGCACTTGCAGCCCTGAAATCTTCTGGGAGGAGGCTGCCCCAATATTCTTGTGTCCTAAGCTTGCTGAACACTCCTCTCCTTCCGACCACTCCACCTCCAACATTCCTGCCCTTCCGATCCAGTAGCTTTTGCAACTCTAGCTGGGGACATTGATCGGGAAGGAGTATAGCATATGGAGGAATTGAAAAAGACTTTGGAAGACAAACCTACCTATCCTCACCCCATCTCTGCCCTCAGCAAATGCAAGATTCTTGTTACTGCACCTTATCTAGTACTGGACAAACATCTCTGGAGGTGAGGCACTTGCTTCTTTCAAGACCCTGTTTGAGATCACGTTTCAATGTGGATGCTGAGTCAAAATATGTCTTCCTGTGACTCCTCCTCAGAGGTCCTGGCTGTGCCTTCTGTTCAAACTGTCCAGCTCCTCTTCCAATAATCACCCTCTGAAGACAGCACATCCCTAAGGGCCTTCTCTTTTCCAAAACACACATCTTCAGTATCTTCAACTATTCCTCAGAAACTTAGTTTCTGGATCCTTCGTCATTCTGTTCTTTGACCTCTGGGCAATTTCTGGCTAATGGTCCCTGTATTAAATCTGACTAGAACAAAATATAGGAAGATATGAGTTTCCTTGTTCAAGACTCCATACTTCTATAATGCAATTCAACTGGTCTTTCAAAGGGAGTGGCTCCCACTACCCATGACACCATGCCTAATGGATTTCATTTTGATGGTACCTGGCCATCATTTCAGTCTCTAAAGGGAAACTTTTGCGATCCTGATTCTATCATCTGGTGATGTGATGACAATGGAGATAAGTCATCCTTGGGTTTATCTAAGTCCTAGTAGAAAATATTGACAGGCCAAAGGCAAAAACAGAGCCCTGCTTCATGCCATTAGAGACCTACTAGCCGAAAGGTCGGGGAGGCTTCATGGAAGCAGTAGGGCATGACCTGGACATTGAAGGCTTGGAGAGAATGAAGGTGTGATGTGCCTGGGGGGAGGGTATGTGGTGAAAGGTGTGGGAGGTGATGAGGTCTGCATGAAAACAAATGTATGGAAAGAATTACCCAGTGCCTGGTACATTGTGGGTGCTCTGTGTGTGGTAGGTGTGGTTACAGTGATGATGACGATGAGGAGGAGGAGGAGGAGGAAGAGGAAGGAGAGAAGGAGGAGGAGGAGATGGGTCAAGGAAGGAGGCAGGAGGAGATTGAAGTGTGCACTGGACAAGGCAGGAGTTGCTCTTGTGACCTTCTCCTCTCTCATTCTGCCCCGGTTATCCATTGCCTGGGATGTGTTGCAGGTCCAGAAGAAGGTTTTGGGGAGAGACTCAGAACTACTTCTCAGGTGCAGCAGCAGTAAGCTCTGGGCAGTAGTTTCCGTTATGATGGCTGGGGCAGCAGCAAGGTAGGCTACCTGCTTCTCTGTGGCTGAACCGGCTGTGAAGAGTAGACACACCTGACTATCACCCTATCTCTTCTCTAGTCCCTTGACTTCCTGGTGCTTCTTGCACTCTGGGCCCATTCAGATGTCCCTTCCTTCTCTCCAGATGCTGGGATATACTGCAAGTTCCCAGGCTCCACTTGTTTCAGCCATTGACCTTTGATAGTCAACTCAGCTTGCCCTAAATGGTAAATACCTCATAACCGTAATTTCTAGTTGTGCCTTAGAAGGTTCTAACAGCTCGGTGCAGTAGCTCATGCCTGCAATCCTAGCACTTTGGGAGGCCGAGGCAAGAGGATTGCCTGAGCCCACAGGTTCGGGAACAGCCTGGGCAACATGGCTAGACCTCGTCTCTATAACAAATCAAAAGTTAGCCAGGGGTAGTGGCACATGCCTGTGGTTCCAGCTACTTGGAAGGCTGAAGTGGAAGGATTGCCTGAGCCCTGCAGGTCAAGGCTATAGTGGCTGTGACCATGCCACTCCACTCCAGCCTGGGCAGCAGAGTGAGACTCCGACTCAAAAAAAAGAAGGCGCTAACAACTGCCTCCATTAGGCACAATGCTCTTATGACCTTCAAACCCATAACACCAGGCTAGCTCCCCAGGATAGATCCTTCGACTTTAAAGATGAGGTGGCAGAAGTTCCACCACTGGGTGACAATCAGATGGGAATCAGATAAGGCAGTCCAATATTTTTTCCCCAAATTTGTTCACAACTAGTTTACATTCTATCTATGTTCCAACTCCCCCCACCCCCCCACCACCACCACAGGCAGCCTAACGAGGTTGAATCTAGGCTTCTCATCAAAATGACCATTGGTGGCCGGGCTTGGTGGCTCAGCCTGTAATCCTACGCCTTGGGAGGCTGAGGTGAGTGGATTGCCTGAGCCCGCAGGTTTGAGACCCGCCTGGGCAACTTGGCGAGACCTCATCTCTACAATAAATCAAAATGAGCCGGGCATGGTAGTGCATGCCTGTAGTTCCAGCTACTTGGAAGGCTGAGGTGGAAGGATCGCCGGAGCCCAGCAGGTCGAGGCTGCGGTGGCTGGGAGCGGCCACTGCATTCCAGTCTGGGCGACAGAGTGAGACTCCAACTCAAAAAAAGAAAAAAAAAAAAATTGACCATTGGTGGACCTGCTAAGATGGGCCTTGTGTCTGGTGTAGGTGTGGGCAGCTTAGCATAAGCTCCGTGAATTTTGATTGGTTATACTTGGCAGTTCTGTTTGTTCCAGATATTAGAAACAACTGCTTGTCTTGGAGTTCATTTTCCACATTCTACAGAAAAACTGTTTCAAAGTCTTTGGAGGCCGCCGCAAAATGGGTTCGGTTCCCTGCCATTTTTTCTATAACCGGGGACGCGCTCCTTCTCTGACCTGAACAGAGACCTTGTTCTCTTCTTTCTCTGATTCTTGCCCAACAGAATCAGTGGAGGACAGAGCTTCCCAGGTTCCTACCTCATCAGCCTTAGGAAGAGTGAGGCATCCCTTTCAGCATTCAAGGAGAATCACAAGAACACTTGCATGTTACCAGGCTATATAGCCCTGTGTTGTTTACACTTACTTTACTAATCTTCATATTTCATTCAATCTTTACATTGAATTATGTGTAATCCTTGAAACACCTTATGCAGGAGGGACTAGCATCACCCCGGCCCTATTTTGGGGGAATACGGAAACCGGGTCCATTTTATTTTTGCTCATGGCAGAGTCAGGGTCTGAAGTCAGCGTTATGGAGACGAAATCCAGGGTGCTCTCCATAAGATCACACAACTTTCTCTCAGAGACTCTGTTTTGCAAAGGACAGGCATTCACCTGGCTGTCTAAGGGGAAAACTAAACCCTACATGGGCTTTTTATCAGGTACTTACTGTGAGTCACAACTGTGCTAAGTTCTTCACACACATCATTTCCTTGCACTAAAGACTTTCCTTGAACAGTCTTTAAGTGTTGGATAGTTTATCACCCTATCGCAGATGTGGAAACTGCGCTTCAGACAGTAATGGGAA